AGGTTTGCTGAACCATTAAAAAGCTTCTTGTTCAAAACAAACCTGATTATGTGAAATTAAATTTGATTTCACTCAACAGATTTAGAAAGATTTGAAGCTAAAATGGGCTCAAAAAGAATTACACATTCATATTTTCCTTCTTCACCTTGTTTTTATTATTGCTGATGAAGCGCACACACACATAAGGACACATTTGTCTCATATGGGGGGACAGATGAAAGAGCGTCTTATAAAATGTCTTCTTGAACACATAAAGATGAAGATTAAAGCCTAATTAGGAGCCAACATCTAAATGATCATCTATTGATTGAAGGAGCACAGCAGCATTAAGCTGAGCTCTTTCACACTTCCATCTGAGTCCCAGAGAGCTGTGGACCCCCCAGAGTCCAGACCAGCTCAGGTACCCCTCACCTGCTCCACCTGCATCTACACCCACATGAACCACCATCAGCTGTACAGACTGAACTATGTGGTGAGCAGAGAGGAAGGTTCTCCACCAGGAGGACTCTCCCTCCTACAGAGGACACAGAGACACTGAGGAACCAGAAGACCTGAACCAGGACCTGAACCCAGGATAAAGAGGTTCAGTGAATGTGGTGCTGAAGGTGTGGAGGTGGATCAGTGTGTCAGAGGAGACTCTGTAGAAGGACAGAGAGCCAGCAGGACAGTCCACATACACTGCTACTCTACCAGAGGAGGAGGAGGAGAAGGAGGAGGAGGAGGAGGAGGAGGAGGAGGTGATGCGTGTTACTGTCTTATTGTGACAGACAGAGTAACCTCCATCAGAGCATCTCAGACTCCAGGACTGATCATTGTGTCCAAACACACAGTCATAACTGTTTCCTTTCCTCCTGATTCCTCTGTAACTCACTGATACATCAACCTTTCCTCTCCACTCGACCTCCCAGTAACAGCGACCAGTCAGACCAGTTCTACACAGCAGCTGAGGCCAGTAGTCAAATCTGTCTGGATGATCAGGATATGACTGATCCTCCTTCACACATGTCACCTTCCTGTTGTTGTCAGACAGTTTGAGTTGTTTGTTTACTGTGTTTGTGTCGATTGTGAGTTCACAGGAATCTGATGAGAGAACAAGACACAATACAGCTGCAGTTATTAATCATGTGTTCATCTACTGACACGTTGATGATGACGTCACAGAGGTGAATGAGTGATGTCACAGTGTGAAGATGGTTGAATCTTCATGAATCAAAGCACACTTACACTTCCTCAGACCTGGTCTCAACCATCGGACTCCATCAGGCTCCACCCTGAAAGGAGGAGGGGGGTCAGAGCAGCATGGAGACATGGACATTACATCACTCTCACACACAGCTTTGTCCTTCATGTCCACATGGAGCACCTCTTCTTCTTCTACCACTACTTACAGACGACCACAGACTGTCAGTCAGGCGTCACACAGCGACGAGGTGCTGGAATATATTCATGAAGAAGATGAATGGATAACAAATAAGAAATGGACCTGTCACTGAACTTTACCCAGATGTGAATTCAAACGGGAGAAATGACGTCATGCTACAGATCAAGCTTCATGGGACGTGTGCAAAGGAACATTCACATTAAACTCTTTCATAAAGATAAAGCAGATACAGACCATTCAGTGTTCACACAATGTGCATGTTTCCATGTTGTCCCCATTTGTGGACAATGTCTCTCCCTGTGGTTCGCTGGAGTCCCAAAACTTTACAAATGGCTTTGTCACCTTTTCCACACTGATGGATCTCAATGACTTTGTTCCTCATTTGTTCCTGAATGTCTTTGGATCGCAGCCTGATGTCTCGCTTGTGAGGATCTTGTGGTCTACTTCACTTTGTCAGGCAGCTCCTATTTAAGTGATTTCTAGATTGAGAACGGCTGTGGCTGGAGAAATGGAACTGGGCTTTCCAAAGATGTGATGAACCTCACTTCATTTATGTTTTCATCACTTTTTCACACAGGGCCATTTAGGTTTGGATTCTTTTCTCCCCTTAATGATACAAACTGCATTTTGTGTTTACTTGCGTTATCTGTGTCTAATATTTACATTAGTTTGATGATATGAAACATTTAAGTGTGACATGCAGGCATGAAAACGGGTCACGGGTGAAAAAGGTGAGAAGGATGTTTCCCCTCTAGGGGTTTTCAGCTGGTTTTGTCCCAGGGACCAACATTCTGAATAGAAAGTCACTGGCCTGTAACCGTCCCCCCACATATTCCGCCTGTAGCACTTGTCAGTGGAATCTCTTCCATATTCTTCTGGATATTCAAGTGACTGAATGTCTTCAGCTGGACGCATCGGTCTTAATGTGCCTGTAATGATGGTAAATGATGCTTGTAGCTGGTTGTCATCTACGCTCCACTACGGTTACATAAAGGTGGCGTTTGTGTTTTCACAACGTTTTATCTCATAATTTAGACTTTCTATCCCCTTTCTTCAGTGCGGAAATGGGCTTCTATAGTTGTGTGTATGCATCACTCCAGCCAATCCAAAGACGGGGTTTGTAACCAATCAGGTGTAGAGACCATGTGACTAGCTCCGCCCCCTTACTGTCAGAAAGAACAACAGCGAGCGCGTAGAAAACTCCTTCGAGCGCGAGCAGAGATTCTCCTCGCGAGCAACGAAGTTCACGTTCAAATGTCCGTCTCACCAGAGATATTTATTTATTTATTTATTTGCTCGCGGATGTTTGATTTACGCATCAACCTGATTTGCGCTCTGGAATTTTGGCAGTGATTTGCTGCCTAACCCCCCCCCAAAAAAAGGTGAGGGATTTTCATGCCTGAACATGAAAGAAATGAGGAATCAGGAAGGCAGCAAACACTTTATCACACAACTGTAACACATAAAAGCAGAAGCCATTTTCTAGTGAGGCTTAATGAGGCGAGTCGGAGGACGTCCACGTTGTCCCATTGATCAGGTGGACTGCAGTGTCTCCCCGTTATACTACTTCATGGGGGGGCACCCCTGTTATAATGATGGAAACACTGAACTGGCTTCGGTCGCTTATCAAAACATCGGCCAAATAAGCCGTTTTTCAGACTTTATGAGCAAATACAGAATCCCTTTGTGTTCATTTCTAAAGCCGCATAAAGACACACGTGACTTTATTTAAGGCGCTGCGCTACTTGCAAGTCGCTGTGTTGTGGCAGATTCTCCATAAAGGTAGAAAACAACAAACTCATGGTCATGAAGGTCCTCATGTAACGTTACATGGAATCTGCATGAGGAGGAGGAGGAGGGTCCATGTCGCTAAATACCAACTGAGATCGGCTTGTGGCTTCTGACAAAGGATCCTTCCACCGACCACTTTTCACACCCGCCGTCGCTCTGATCTGCAGGCGCATGGCGGAGAAAACCAATCGGGTGTCTGGATGCTAAATGTTCATACTTCTGTTGGGCCTCCACCCTGCTAATGAACCTCACCACGTGTTTCTTCACTGAGGACAAAGGAAGAACACAAACATATAGGGGTCCCCCGTGGCCTGATGCCAGGGGCTGATAACAGGACCCCTGCAGCTCTCCAGACCCCCTTGGCCATAAAAAGAGGACGTACCAAAGAACACCGAGCGCTCCCATTGGCCGAGGACAGTGACATTTATTTATGGACCTCAAGTTCATAGGAAGAGATTGCGCCAAAGGATCGATCTCTTTCTCCTGACTTCCCGTTAGTGACAGATCGAGACAACACAACGTTGTTTGGTTTCTTTTCTTTCCCTCCAATTAAGTAGTTAAACAGTTAAACAGTGCCTCATTAAAGTCGCTGGAATAATGTGCCCGGAAAAGATGCAGGAATTCAACAACGTGAGCATGTCCACAAACACAATTGTGCGTTGAATGGAAGACTTGTCAGCTAACATACAGAATCAAGTGTCACATAAAGCTTGTGCTTTTGACTTTCCAGCTCCAGGTCCTGGTCTCTGATGGATCCTGGTTACACATGTATGTATTAAATGTATTAAACACAACATTAAAGCTACTCTCACATCGGGAATTAAGAATTAAAGCAAATAAAGTGTCTGTCTATGTCTAGCTGTATCTCACCCTTTTGTTGTGACACAATACTAATCATGGTTATTATTATTTTTTATCTTTCATCGTAGGCGTTGGACAACAGTACTTTCTGATTGATGTTGTCTTCAAGAACAGATGCGAATACTTCCAAAGCCATTCTATTGTCTCTCAATCACAACGATGTGAGCGTGATGACGTCTGGGCCGTGGTGACTGATAATGCTGCTCACTGTCTGAAGGAATACAGGAGGCTCTGAGAGGAGTGTTGCCCAACAGCGTACATGTAACCTGCCTCTGCCATGTCATCACGCTGGTGGGTGAGACCTGGCAGCTCTGCAAATCATTCTCCATTGTGACATGGATGAGATCTGCCTGCTAGAAAGAGAAGATGCTGCTTCCTCATCAGCAAGGAGTTTGTGCAAGCTAAGGCTCCGAGTTGCACTTGGAATTGAAGTTTACAATGTTTTTGATATTTCCACCAAAGTTAAGTTGAATTTCCAAAATGTTTTATTGTTTACTGCACGGGCTGTTGCAATTGATATGCACCTTTGTTAGTAGATATTGACAGGACTATTCTTACTTAGTTTGATCTTACAAAGAACTAACGGCATTTTTTGTTGAGTCGTGTATTTTGTTTAATTTAAACCAACAAATCTGAATTTTTTTTGAATGACTGTTCTGTTTGGACACACAAGAAAAGATATTGCCATGTTTTTATCATGCAGCATGTTTTTGCCTGAAATAAGGTTCTATGTATGGAGGTTTTCAGTTTTAACTGAATATATTGTCTACATTTCAGTTCTTAATTCACTGTCTCTGCGTAAAATGTTAAAAACCGAATTCTCAAATATTAAAAAAAAAAATGAATGGTGGGAAAAATTAAACCGGAATTTGAGAAAAAATGAAACAGATTTCATAGGGCCCTACTTACTCTGTGTCATAAGAACGGCGTCCATCTTTGAAGTTAAGCAGACGACCTTTAGACCGATCACTCTTCATGGACAAACATCTGGGTTCAGGAGACTTTCCTCTCTGCTGATGTGAACTGAAAGAAACACTGAGATTACATCATCACATCATCATCTAATCATGAAGCATCAGCTCACATGGTGTCCGTCCTCACAGTGACCAAAACAAGGTAAAGGTCCATGACGTGAGGTCTGGATGTGGACCACATGACTCCCTGTAGTGGTTCAGGTCTACTGGTCCTGCTGGTCCCACTGAGAATCAACAGCTCAGTCTTTCAGCTCACTGTTTTCTTCACCAGTCAGTTTGGTTTAGTCCCAACATGTCTCACCAAGTCCTCCATGGAGCTCTCCCTCCCTCACTGGACACTGCTGAAGGGCCCTGGAGCAAGAGACCCAGAACCTCCACCAGAGAGTCTGGTAGAAACACCTCATCATCAGCCTGAGACCCTCACCTTGCATCAACAGAGGGAGCAACATCTTTGAAGTTTGGAGGAGGACTCATAGACCGGTTTCTCTTCATGGACACACAGCTGGGTCCAGGTCCAGGTCCTGGTCCTGGTCTGTGATGGGTCCTGGTCACACATGTAGAAGCAGAGTCAGTGAGTGAGAGACGTTGGGACATGGAGACGAGTGGAGGACAGTTGGAGATGGTCCTCTCACCTCTGAGCTTTGGTCTGGCTGTCATGTTCCCCACACAGAGGGGCTTCAGAGGGAGGGACTCCGTCCTCTGGGTCCTCAGCCTGATTCATAGCAGAGTCCACACCTTCACACCTTCACACCAACCTGCTGGGAGAGCTCACACGTTATTGACAAACCACCAATTTGGGTTTTTCCTATGAAGCCAAATGGAAGCGCAGCAGCTAAACCAGAAGTGCACATTCACAGTAAAAGTCCTGGAATGGAAGGTTTGTAGGGTATAAATGCGTCAGTGATCCAGCGTATAGCAGGGTAGCATATGAAGAAACGTTAGCTAGTGAATATAAATGGATCTCGGTTATTACTGATGTTTTTGTAGCCCAATTCAGTCCAAAGGTTTGGACACTTTCTCATTGAATCGAATGAGTAAACGTGTCCAAACGTTTGACTGTTCATCTCATTTAAGAACCAATCGGTGTGGTTGAGGTTTGGGCTTTGGGCCGTTTTACAACATGAATGCTTTGATGTGAACTATTCCATTGTAGCCCAGGCTGTATGTTTAGGCTCATTGTCCTCTTGTCCTCTATTTGGCTCCGTCCATCTTCCCCTCATTCATTGTCTCCTGGTCCTGCTTGTCAGTTTGGGTAGACTTCCTCCTCTTGGCAGGTTTGTGGCTGTTTAATCCTTCATGGACTTGAAAGCTAAAGAACTTCTGCAGGTGTTGAGGAGCAGGGGGTGTCAGACCCAACTGCTCTGTGGTGGAACCGAACATGTTGAGGGAAAGAGGATGTTACGCTCAGCTAGTGTGGAGACACTCGTGGTGCTCTACAAGTATTTGTAGCTGTAAAACATTTGCCATATGAAACTCATAGAGGTGGATTTGACTTTGTTACCTTGAAGCTAAAGGAGGGGAATGATTCTGCTTTCATAGAAGCACAAGCACTCACTACCTGGAAGGGGATCGGATCATTGAAGCCTCTATTAAGGCCACCACAGTGTTCTCAGGATCAATGGACCTTTGACTGCTGATGAGAGGAAACTAATCAAAAGTACGCTGTGCATCCGCCCACAGCTCCAGAGGTCCCTCTGAGGTCACAGGTCACATGGCAGCAAAGAAGGAAAGAGAACCAATCCTTCTCTTTTCTGCTCTCGTCTCGTGACATTTGGGAAAATGTGTCAAATGTTCTAGAGTCCAAATGTCTGAAGGCCGTAAAGTCACACGAGTCATTTTCTTCAGACCAACATTATATCTTCTCATCTTGGACCTTTGAGCTCTTTGGTTTACAGCTTGATTTAGGATGGAAGTGTGACAAACAAAGAAACGACTCTATTCTTATTTATTGATCCATGAACAACACGTGTTCACTCCTCCACGACATCAACATACATGATGTTTACAACTAAGCATGAATATCAAATGAAGGAAACACAAGCATTCAATGCATCTGTCCCAGAAACAACAACAGTTCAATATGATTCAATCTGTGGTTTGAATCAGTGGTTCTCAACTGGTGGGTCGCGGACCCCTTTTTAATGGCCTGGGAATTGGCGTTTTCCCCTTTGCCTGGGAGAATAAAAATTATAATTAAAAGAAAACTGGGGAGACTTTGGGTTTTTGGGATAATTAAACCTCCTACTTAGTTTGAAAAAAGATCTCTGTGTGGGCAAGTCATGCTTCCAAAAGCCGACTCGACGTGTTCCCCAATGCCTGTCATGAGGGACAGCAGCTGGACACGGCAGACAAGAACGTACTGGAGAAACAATCACGGCGCATCTGAATAAACTTCTGGAGCCGTTTAACGAATACTTTCCCCAGAAACAGAGGGACAACCACTGGATACGTGACCCGCTTGGAATCCACATAGAAAGTGTCACGTTGCCAAGCAACAGAGAGTCAGCTGATGGAGCGGTCATGTGACCGTACGCGGAGGTGAGCCCCTCCCAGTTGTGGTGCAACAGCGTGATCAGCGAGTGTCCTTCCCTCGCCACTCGAGCAGTCAAAGTGCTGCTACCCTTCAGCACTGCCTGTCTCTGTGAGTGCGTCTCAGCTCTGGTTCAGCTGGAGACTAAACACAGGAAGAGACTGGACATCGAGCTTGACCTCAGACTGGCCTTGTCCACTAGAACTCCAGACTTTGAGACTCTTGCCAAGAGCAAAAAACATGCCCAGTTCTCCCAGTAGAAATTCCTCCAGACTCAAGTCAGTTTTCACCTCAGGTTGAAGTGAGTGCTGCTTAATTTCTGTAAAGCACAAAGTTTTTCAGGATTTACCTCCTGATGAGGTAATCACAAGAAACGCTCATTTTCTATATCCGAATCCTTTTGAATAAACTTTTTATTTAATTTATTTTGCATTTGTGCAAAAGCTCCTCAAGACACAGTGTTTGTCGTATCTGTTAAAGTCATTTGAGTCTTTTTTGTTTGAAATGGCTGAAGATTCTTAATTGTTGTATGTTGTAATACCTCGTGTCCTTAAGATGCACTTTGGGGTTTTAGCTCATTTAGTGTAAAGGGAATAGTTCCCTCTCTAGCGTCGCTACCAGCTGGCTGTTTTCTCATTAAACTTGTTTTTGTGTGGTCATACGTGTTCTGTCTCCACACGCTCTCAGGTTCAAACTGCACCATATTTTCATTAAATACATCTGAGAAGTGAAGGATGTCCCTCGATTTGGGTCGGTTGTCATTGAGGGGTGATGGTGGGTCCCGGAGCCACCAGACCAGCTGAGAACCACTGCTTTAAATAGTCGTATTCTGCCCCCTGGTGGTGGAGATGTGAACACGTTTACTCTCCTTAAAGTGTCTCTGAGCACTGAAGCAACACAACAATACTGGAAATAAATATCAGAGCCAACAGCAACGAGTCTGCCACCACAAACTGTGTTATTACCTACAGTAATAAATGTGTTGTTACTATATTAATAACTATATTGCATCAAACAGCGCACAGATGAACGAGTATCTGTGTACATGGATGAATGTAAATGTGTCTGCGTGTAGTCAACTGCTGTTGTTAACACACGATGACGTTTCATATTCATTCTTCTAATGTTACTCTGCTATATTATAGATATTGTTGCGTCACAGACGGATTTCTATCGTACAAACGTTCTATTGCGTTTTACTGTTAAAATGTGCGCACTTCCGGTTTAGCGGCTGCGCTTCGGTTTCTTTTAAAAGGAACAAACAAAAAGGGATTTACAGAAAAACAGATCGGTCGTTTTTTCGTATTTGGGCAGAAAAGGACATTTACTCCTTTGGTTGAAGCAAAAAAACTAAAATAAAACGGTGTTATTTCCGTATTTTCGTTTTATTTCCGTATTTTCGTTTTATTTCCGTATTTATCGTCTAAACGGTAAAGGAACTTTGCAAAGGTTGACGGCCCGTTAACACACAAACACACAGTAAACACACGCTGTGTGTCACGGGACATACTCACACGATGTGACACTTTAAGACGTTAAAGTGAAGCTTGGTGACTTTCTACGCGTCTCCCGCGCTTCTTCTTCTTCTTCTTCGTCTTCTTCCGGTTTGTTCTGGCGGGTCGCAACCAGCGTCACGTGACCAGGTGCATCGCGCCACCTGCTGTACCGGAGTGTGCAGGTTCAGGGTTTATTGCTCAGCCTGCCGCTGTTACCTGGATCCTACGACCTGGTCCCGTCTCTTCTATGAGACGCATCAGGGGTCTAAAGCAGTCGGGCCCACCCTGCTCCACTGACACGACTCCCTCCACGCTCCACTTCCGTCCCCGGTGGACAATGTGAGCCTCCAATCGGTTTCTTTCGTTATTGTATTTTGACCCTTCGTAACGACGCGCTCCACATCTTCAGTTTCGTTGCCATTACGAACAGAGTTGAGTTCAGACCTGTGTGACTGAGTCGTGATATGATGACCTCCTCTCTCCGCGTACAGCAGGGATCCAATATCTCTTCCAGCATCCATAAACATGTCATTAATCATGATATTATAGTAATATTACAATTACGTTTGTCCTCTGAATAATGAACGTGTCTGTCCTCATCCCTTCTTAATGAGAGTCTCTGTCCTCTCCACCAGACCTCCTTGTAGAAACATCTCGTTTTAGCAGCTCCGTTCACCGGAATATGGAGGAGAAACACACAGAAACGGAAGCGAAAAGACTCCGAAGGCTCGTGTTGCTGTAAACGTCTTCCGGATGTAAGTTAGTTCAACGTGAGAGCCGATAAACCGCTACGGTCTCCTGATGAGACAACATGTCCAAAGGGCTCAGAGTGGGATTGTTATCAGACACGTTGGTTCTTCAGGTGATTTCGTGTTGCCGAATAACAGATGAGCTCCGCGTGGTTCACAAAGGCTCTTCTACTTGATGTTAGTGGTGATGTTTGGGCCGGTTAGGCAGCAGCGTTTGTTTAATTCAACCCTTTCTGAACAGAGTTCTGCAGCACACGTCACCGTCAGGCTGAGCGCTTATAAGCAGCTGCTTGGTTTGCCCACGTGGGGGCGCTGTGGCCCACAGAGCCACCGGTTAGTTCTGTGACGTCACATAAGTGCGTTTTAAGTGTTTAAAAGACACTAGAACACAACACACTGAACTAAACCAGAGACGTGTGTGGGACAACGTCCTGTAAGAGGACAACGAGGGAACTCGTGTTGATGTCCAGCAAGGGGACGTTGTCCCTCCAGATGTTAGTCCATCGTGTCCAGAGGCGCTGACGTTCTCAGTGAACTACAAGCAGGAAGTGAACTAATCCCACATGTGCTGCTGCTCGATGACTGAACCCGTTGTTGTGAACAAGAAGAGGCTCTTTAGTCACCAAAGAACAACAGTTACTTCATTATCGTGGCTCCACTGACCTGTGATTGACAGGTGACATCACGTCACTACCTGAGTTAAGACAATGACGTCACTACAAGGCTTACCGCTACTTGAGCTTCTCTGCATGGCCTCAGCGCGCTGCATCGTGCCGCCTTCATTCACGTGTCATTCAACATGATTGACAGCTGTATGAACAGCAGCTGAGGGGCGCGGAGACGTTCCTGCAGCAGGAAGAACGGAGAGAACTCAGAGCACCAGTAAAGGTCTTCAGGGAGCCCCGGTGGTGGAGC